CCCCCACATGCGCAGTGCTCGAACTTGAGACCTAAAGGATAACAACAACCCCTTGATCACAAAGGTCGTTTAGTTCGTGTTGAATTTTGAATTTAAATATCTAATAAGTCTTTATATTTTTCTTAAATAGGCCAATATTTCAGCTTGTCAATATTTAGTTCTGGATACATCCCTGATAACACCTTTGTAACTTTAATTCCTCTTCTTAGAAACAAATTAGTTATTTTTTTAATTTAATTTGTCAACTTTACACTTTATTTAACTTGGTCGTCCACTGCAACAAAATAAGTTGTTAATGGCGTTTTAGTCCTATAACGATGTTTTTAAGCGCCGCTAAAATACTATCGGCGCTAGTAAGAGCGCCACAAAAACGAACGCCACAAAAGGTAGCGGCGTTTGTGAACCTAAAACGCTGTAAAAGGTTGAGTTATATAACGACGTTTGTTATTTCAAACGCCACTATATGTTGTGATTTATAGTGATATTTTTTGCCACAAACGCTGCTAATTCTATTGTTTTTAATGGTGTTTGTAATACAAACGTCGCTATATATTATGATTTGTAGTAGCATTTTTATCACAAACGTCGCTATTTACAAAAGGTTGGCATAGGCAAGTTTGATTGGGTTATTGAACCCGTAAATTGTTGATCATCACTATCTTAATCCTTAAACTTCCATTAATGTCAATACAATATTATTTTACTAATGAGTTTAAACCTTGGGTCTGATGTCATTATTTAAAGAGCTGGTAATGGCAGCTATTATTTTGCAGTAACCAGAAGCAATGTCCTAGACAATATGAACAAATGAGTAACTATTATAAATAATGAGTCTTCCCAAAAGAGAGTAGCTTTTTTTCTTTTCCAAGCAATGTTTCAACTTTTTTTCATCAAATAGTAAACTTACAGAAGAATCATCTAAGTTCATTTCATTAAAAACAATAACAAGTATTGGTAAAAATGGAAAATAAAACAAAATAAGTTTTTTACTTGAACCCATAACGAAACAAATTAACAAAATCTTGATGTAATTAACAAAACAAAAGAAGTTTGTAACTTGAACCCAGAAGCATAAACAAACCATGAAGGGCACTTAAACTATTCCTTTCCATTAAAAATTTCAAAACTTGGAATCATAAACAAACCAATCATGACTAGCATGAAAAGAAACTAGTATATGGAACACCAAGTTCTCAGTCAACAACGCATTTCATAGAGGTTTACCACTGCTGTAGAAGACAGACAAGAATGCATCAACAAAAACCCCTTCTAAAGGTTTACCTCCACATAACTGCAAAAAGTACGTAGTTGCATCCATCAAAAACTCATAGCTAATAATCTGAATAAAGGGAAAGGAAAACACTGTAATACTAGCGAAAAAAATGAAAAAGAAAGTAAAATTGCATATCTTCTCCAAAAAAAAAAAACAGCACTTATGTCCACATGCCTAATTGAACAAACAAATGAACGGGTCCTGTCACAACCGCAGGAAAAGTGCACAATTCATGACACAGCCCAAAACAACAATCGGACGAACAACACGAATATTACACCGAATACAAAAATTTGGAGAAGGCCTCCAAGGACAGCAACTGCTCGAACAACACGAAGCTACAAGATGCGTTACAAGGTTAATATTATTGAATAAAGGGAATGAACATAATATGGAAGGACCAGGCAATGAGAAAACCTTTGTTATTGAAAACTCCAAGCCTAAAGCAAAAAGAAGAAAGATTACACCGAATTGAGCTACTGTTTCAACCTGAATAATGTGCAAATAAGAACATTTGTCTTGATATAAAGACCACCAAAGAATAAAATTAGAAATATTAGAACAATGGCATTACTAAAGCTAAAGATAAACTCCCAGATAACATTGAAGCAAAAGAAAAATACTTGCACCGTTTATTAGTAATGGACGAATGAAAGCACTGCCACTAAGGGAAGTGCCGAACAAGAAATGGTCACAAAAGCCATTCAACGCAGAATCAAGACGTAGAGGGTAACTTAACAAAAACATATATTTTTTTAAAAATTAATGATCCAACTAATGCTCGAAAACACGAACGCCATTTAAATTTTGAAATTTAAAAATCACCTCGACGGTGATAGAGAGGCCACGACGACGTCGAACAGTGGCAATAATACTGGAAACAATGATGGGATCGTGATGGGCGTGGCGGTGGAGGTCACGACGGCGTCGAACGGCTCCAATCAACAACAGATTTGTTGGGTCTTTGCAAACGGCCGGGGAGCAGAAAATGTTGGGGAAAATAAAAAGTGAGATCAGCTGAAGGGTTAAGGAGATAAAACTTTTAAAATTTGTGGCGTTTTTAAACCCAAACGCCGTTAAAGCACTGAACTATTGTGACGTTTGATATAAAAAACGCGACAAGCATACCAAACTATTGCGGTGTTCGTAAAAAAATGCCGCTAAAGTACAACTCTATCGCGGCGTTCTTGAAAAATGCCACTATGAATGAACCCTATTGCGGTGTTTGTTGAAAAAAAATGTCATTATTGATGAACCCTATTACGGCATTTTATATAAAAATACTGCTAAAGTTACCATTTTGTGGCGTTTGGAATGTAAACGCCGCTATATGAAGTTAGTTGTGTTTACTCTCAAAACGCCACTGCATAATAGTTTTGATGTAGTGATTAAGTGTAATTTTTTGTAAATTAATTCTTTCTTTTCATCAATTCATTGACTCTTTTATGTTCTCATAGTAGATTGTTCTCAAAATCTCTTCTTAAAAAATAATATTACAAATATATTATATAATTTTAGATGATATTTGATTTATTAATAACATTATAAATCTTATTTGTATCGTATATAGCTGGAGAGGTCGTTTAAATTTGACAATTAATACCAAAATATTTCAATTATTTTTTGTATCGTATAGTAGCATGCCATTTCTTCATACTAAAAGCTGATTAGTTATACGGATGCAAGAGTACATGGTTCATACTTGCAGATTTGCAGGAACAGAGACAAAGTGCAGAACTCAAAAGTACGCATTGCATTGTTCAAATAATACTAAGCGTGAAAATCGAACTGTCACCGTCTCGATGTGAATTTCGCATTTGCCGTCCCTATACCTATACAGATCATGGTTCTTGAGCTGCAATAGAGAGACAGCTTGTAGACTATCAGTAAATAACGGTGTTATACTTTTAAAACAACTCTCCGGAAACTTTAAAATCTCCGTTAATGAAGACGGGAAGACTTCACTCTTTGAGGAGAGCTTCAGGGAGTTCTTCGGAGGCATCACACATTCTCCGGTACCATCTTATGCCACGCCCTCCAAAGTCCATATTCTCCGATCTTCAACGTGACGAGCCATATCAGTGCGGTTTGCTAGCCCATACTCCAAAACTATGCACATTACATGAGTGTGTTTCGAGCGCAAATACTCCAAAGCTATACGCATCGCATTTTTCAGTTACAGCCATAGTATAAGCAAGTCTGGAAACTTCAGCTGGTGCAACGTATCCGTAAGTACCAACAAGCATCGTTTGATTTGATGAATAGGGATCGATCGATAAGTAAAATATTTGAATCAAGGAGCAAATAACTCAATCTAAATAGATTAGATAATGGGGGAGGGATCATGATTCCTAACGTGTTGTTACTAAGAATCAAGACAGACAAATTTCCAATTTGATCAGGGGTTGAACCTGTAAAAATTTGAATCAATGTACAGCTAGTATGTTATAAGATTGAGTAAATTAACCACAAGATATTACAAATCAAGAATACATAATTTTTTTAATTTTTAAATAAACTATTAAAATGGTCCTCACTTAATGGGGACCGCCATTCATATAAACTATTAAAATGCACTATCTTCACGCATTTTATATATTAAAAATGCACTTGATAAGTCATGCCATTGATGTTAAAGGTCCAAGTTCTCCTTTCTTCCGTTTCATTATTTCCCCCCCCCCCATAAATCCCTTTAATCCTTTACATTTCCATCAACGTTTTATTTTCAAAATCCCTTCTTTAAAAATAATCACTATAAATTTATTATATAATTTTAGAGTATATTTAATTTATTAAATAACATTATAAATCTTACTTACACATGTGAAAAAATATAATATATATATATATATATATCGTACATAGTCAGTGAAAGTCGTTTAAATTAAAACTAACATTACAATATTATAAAATAATTACATTTAAAGTTGATTAGAAAAAAAAATTAATTCTCATAAACTTAATTAAAATTATTTTTCACTCGACTAAATCGAATACTTTATGGATTTATAATACTACCCTTGCTTTTTTGAAAAATATTGTCGATAGAGATCGTCACAGTCCCTCTAATAGTTGTATAATTCCCTCGTGATATAATGGCATTTCCGACAGGATATTTCCTTCATTTCGTAAAACAATTAATGGCATTTCCGTCATTTACAAAAACCAAGGGTTAGTTTTAAGAAAACCCAATCCTATATTGTTCTTATTTCGATTACTAATTTGCTTTTTCTCTTGTTTTTCTCTCTTTTCTTTCATCTGTACTCTAGATCTCTCTTCTAACCTTCATAAGTCTCCCTCCGCCATCCGACGGCGGCTCTACCGCTTTTCTACCGTCCGTACACTCCGATTTGAGAAAAACTCTTTGGGTTCGTTGGCACCCCTTGTTTTCATCTTCAAAGTTTTTCCCCATTTTTCAATTTTTGTGTATTTATTTATTTATTTTAATTAAAATTATGGGTTTCGTTTTAAAAATGTATTTTTTCATGATTTTGTAGTTTTCCCCTTTCGTTTTAAGTAGCCCTTTTGGTCTTTTAGAACTAATCTTGGGCTATTGAGTCATTTCACCTATTTTTTTTTTTGTAGGTTTTCTCTCATTGATAAATATGATTTGACGGTTCTATCCAAAGTGGGAAGTAAAGTTAAAAAATCATTTTGTAATTTGACGTTTTGCCCTTACTTAACGATGATTTAACGGGATTAGCCCACTTCCTTACGTGGCATGAAAATGAGTCATCACCAACGTAGCATTTCGACACCTGGAGTCTCGAGAAAGCGTAAAGAGAGAGAACCTTTTTATTCATTTAAACCGTCTACTCCGGTTCAATCATCGGTTCATACCAGTCCAAAACACCCCTCCTCTCCTAATTGTTCGAATCAGCTTTTAGCTGGCTACATGGCGCATGAGTTCTTGATCAAGGGAACCCTGCTGGGTCAGCAATTCGACCCGGCTCGATCGGAGTCTGTCCCGGTAGCGATCGCATCGATGTGTGGACCGAGAAAACCCGTCCAGCAGGAAACCGAACCGAAGGATTTTAACAAAGAGAGTCAAAGTTATGCTGACGTGGCGAGAATATTGAAGGAAGACGGGACCCACATCACTGGAATCCTTAACCCTACTCAGCTGGCAAGGTGGATCAAGATGTGAGCTTTTGATGCCGACGTGGGAACACGTGATTGGCTGAAAGATCCACATCAGCTGTGCTCTCGTGGTTTTGATTACCTCTCAAGTGACTGGTTTTGTGTGTTGATTTGTGGGTAAATTGCACTTTTCATCACCCAACTTTAGTTTTATCTGACTGTGTTTTTGAAGATTTTGCATGAATTTAGCATGGATGTGTTCTTGATGAGATAAGGCTTTGTCATTGGATATAACAAATATGATATCATACGTAATGAATAGAGTGCATCATAGTTTATGTTGAAATAATACGAACCGACTCGAGAATAATAATATAGTTGACCTTTATACATAGATAGATAATGTTTACAATATTCTTAAATCTATATTTGTTTTCAAGTAAATTCTCATTTTACTTATCTGGCGGAGGTTTTATCCCCGAAACTCAACCTTCAAGTAAGTTTATAATGTTTTCTCACATTTCCTTGAAGTTTGGTAGAAAAAACATTGTTCATTGATATTCAAGAGTGGATGGTCCTTGATAATTTGCTTTGGCGTTCCTTCATCAAGTGCTAAACCCTTTGTCCACATATTGGACTCGTTCTTGAAAATTATCACATACCAGATGCTAAATCCTTCGGTTATTTTCTTTGTTCTTCTAAGAGCATGCATTATATTTATTGATCAGATTATTGATGGTTAAGTACCAATACGAGAACATCCTCAGCCTTTAATCAAAATTTGTTTCTACAGGTCCATTAACGTGGTTCATTTTCTTGTGACCTACAAGCTCCTTAAATTGAGCTGAACGCACAAACATGTTTCTCTTTGTTAATAATTTAAGTGGGAGAGTCCTCTCAGACTTGATTTAAGTGGAAGAAGAATAAGACATGCATCACGTTGATTTTTTTTTGATTTTTTTTTTAATTGTTATGTAACACTTCCGTTAAGAGGTTAATGAGAGGTAACGGAGAACGAACCAATAACGTAAGGGATCAAAACCATTCTTTTTTTGAATCGGTGACCAAAATCGATCAGAATGAAAACATAAGAGTCATCTGAATAGTTTACCCTTTAGAAAAGAAAGGGTGAATTTCACCTGGGGTTACTTAATTAAGAGGAGATTTCAATCAGATCATTGATTTTTTAATTTTATCAATCATATCCCTTAACTATTTAAACAATATCAATTTTATTCTTCATTACTTACGCATAGGATTTGTCTCTGACAAAACAACAAACATTGGCCATTAGTCAATTAATTATTTTCATTCGATCAAAAGATCTAAAATGAAACATTGGAACCAAAGTGATTTAAAAAAATAAGAGTCAAAAAGATTATTTTATCAAATATTATGGGTGAAATTTGACATTATGCATACTTTTAAAATATAAATTTTAATTTATTTACATATTCGTTAAAAAATTATTTTATTTTTTTCATGTATAAAATCATTTTATATTTAATCTCAAACGGGGATGGATACTTGAATTCTCGACTTGGCAGGGTTAATTTTAAAAATAAAATAAAATTTAATTTGGATTTACATTTAGATTTAAGGTGAAAAAATTAACCTGACCTGAAAAAGTAGTATAGTTATTCTTCATAGATTTTGAAATAATTATAATAATATTTCTCTATTTTTCTTAATTATATCCTTATTTACCTAATAAAAATATTTTTTAATATATATTTGTATCGGATCGAGTGCGATGTTGATTTTTATCATAAAACTTAATTCAAGTTTAAGATCAAATGAATTTTCTTAAATTCATATCTAATCAGATGAAAACGAATAATTTTCATATCAATTTTGAATGGGTCAAAACTCGAATGACTTTATCACCCGTAAAGGCCCAAATTTAAGAAATGTTGGAGCCCAAATCCACTAAAACCATAATCACCAAACTAAAATAAAAACCCTAGCAATCCATCAAAGTGAAACCCTAATTCCTGCCCTCCGCCTCTCTGTCAGCTGCAAACATTCTCAGAGAACGAGAATGGTGAGTCTGTTCTCAACAATCTATAATGGAGTGTACCTTTATAATGTTTCTGGATCATGTATTATGGGTTTTAATTTTTTTTTCTGAATTTTGTTTAGCCGTTCAAGAGGTACGTTGAGATCGGGAGAGTGGCTCTCGTTAACTACGGCAAGGACTACGGCAAGTTGGTTGTCATCGTCGATGTCGTCGACCAGAACAGAGTATGTTGTTTTATTATTGGTTTCCATATCTAACCCAGTATTAAATTCTCTGTGTTCATTGGATTTATTATGGTGAAATAGCATTTGGGTTTATGTGTAAAGAGAGAAAATGAATTTCAACGTGACATGGTGTTTTAGGGTTTTTACGTTTCTTAGGGTATATTTAATTTTATTTGATTCGGTAAGAGGATGAATTGTTGAATTTTGATGGAATTTTGTTTTTTTGGTTTTAAAGTGTTGGACTGAAATTGGATTTAATTGAGTTAATCCAGCCTGAAACATGTTATTTGAAGTCAAGTAAAATGAATTTGCACGATGTACATTATACAGTATTTTTGGTGATTCTGTTTGATAGTTTTATTCTTTTAAACCAATGTTGCTCTGACTTGGAGTGAGTTTGTATGGATTTGGTGGCTTTTATTGATATTTGGCTGTTGTATATGTCATGATAATTGCAGTATAGATCAACGGTGTTAACTTAGAGAATGACGGATGGAACAGAGTTTTCTAGTTTAAGTTTGATAGGTTGATATTCTGTGTGCGGAGGAAATAACGTATGTTGCTATTATCTTGGTGTGGCAGGCACTAGTTGATGCCCCAGATATGGTCAGAGGCCAAATGAACTTCAAGAGGCTTACATTGACCGATATCACAATAGACATCCCCCGTGTTCCGAAGAAAAAGACATTGATTGAAGCTATGGAGAAAGCTGGTAAGAACAATGATTTTTACCTTCATGTTGTTTCTCAAAAACAAAATTTTCTTTCTAATTTGTTTTTATTTGACTGCGGACAGATGTTAAGAACAAGTGGGAGAATAGCTCATGGGGCAGAAAACTGATTGTCCAGAAGAGAAGGGCATCTCTCAACGACTTTGATCGGTTCAAGCTTATGTTAGCCAAGATCAAGGTCAGTTCATCTTACTAATATGTTTACTGGATTTATGCGTGATTGTTCTTATCAAAATCCAAAAGGCTTCCTTGGAGCCTTGATCTGAGCTAACTGGCTGTAATGTATTTTGCAGAGGGCCGGAGTCGTTAGGCAAGAGCTCTCAAAGCTGAAAAAGGATACTTCATCTTGAATCGATACCGAATTGAATCATGGGATTTTGCTAGTTTTGTCATGAACATTTTGTAGTGAGTTTATTTGCTAGATATTGCTTATCAAATGTGGTGCGTGCAATGTTTCTTTGTCAAACTTCTGTTATTTATACTGGATGCATGAGACGGTATCTATATGCTTGTCAAATGCTAAATGGATGAAATAGCTTTTGGTCCCTGAACTTTACAATTTTTCTTATTTCCTATATGGTTTCTTTTCACGTAAGTTCTTCAGTTCAGGGACTAATGTGGAAGAAGAAATTGAGCCAAAATAGAAAAGTTATAAAGAGTTTAGAAGCTGTTTATTCCAATACTTCAATTGGACGCAGAACATATTTGTAATTGAAGTGAAAAAGGTTTAATACACAAATTGGTCCTTAAACTGGGAAACTTTGGTCCTTAAACTTTCAACTTTTATCAAATGAATGCAACATTAATAGCATGTAATGTTGAATTTGTATGGTTTATCTTCTAGAATTGGTTGCACAAACCACACCTACTTCTCTGGGACCTCATAACCACTGTTTATATCAGCAGTTGAACTGTTGAAGCGTTACTTTCTTTACTTTTTGGCTGTAAACCCAATTCTAGCATTACCCATAACTTACCAATTTTTTTTTAATATATCCGTGTTTGAAAGGAATTATTCGGAATTAATTTGAAAGTATAACCTAATTTATTCTATTTATAGAGATTGAAATTTAAATATTTAATTTAATTTTTTTTAAAATCTAATCTCTAGTCTCATCACATAACAAGTTATTGTCATATTCTGTCTTAATGTATTTGTATTAATTAATATATGACATAGACAAATGTTGCGTTCCTTTTCATGCCGCTTTGCTCTTTGCTCTTTGCTCAATGCTCTATGAGCCATGTCGGTCCAATTCTCATATACCAATCCCGAAAATTCTTTCTATAGTTCATGCAAATCCCTAAATTCAAATTTTAATTTAATTGAGTCAAACAATAATTTGATCTTGAAAATTTTTAATTTGCCGGACTCGAATAAAACTAAATCTGATAATCTTAAACTGAATTAAGATGACCAATCAGTACAAACCCGTTTCCTTTTTAAACTTTCTCGGGAAAAATCAATAGAAAGAAAAATGGCAGTTAGAGGAGTAAATTTGCTGAGCAGATACAATCAAAACCAATAAATTTTCTCATTTAAAAACATTAATAACTTAAATTTCAAAACTTAAAAATATTTTTTTCAAACAGATTCAGATTTTCTATTAACTTCAAACAGATCAGCCTTATCAATAATTCGTATTTCTTTACCAACAATAAAATAAAAACAAACTTGTTTTTGACTTTTACTTGTATATAATCATCTTCGAAGACACTCTTCCCATCACAAAGTTGAAGAATTTTGAAGTATGGGACTAAAAGATATCCACTTTAAGCTCAAGGTAAGCAAAATCCATCGCCATTTTCATTTATTTTTTTGGTCAACTGTGACTTTCTCCATAAATTTAACGTATGAAAAACGAAATGAATCGTTTTGAAGACCGAAACCCAGATTTTCTTTTCCATGTTTGAGTTCGTATAAAGCTTAGTTCTCATTAAACAACTCTGGGGTTTTTTTCTGATGTTTTCTGGTTTTTTTTTTTTTTGGTGATGGAGCAGGTGTTTAAGATGAGACGATTTCGTGGAAGCAAGAAGAGAGAGAACAGGGTTAAAAAGAAGCCTTCATGGATGATTCCAGTCTCTCATGGCTATCATGTTGTTGAAAATAAATCACTGAGAGGCAGCTCTGATGAACGAGAACTTGATTCAGTCGTGGTTCAGAGAGAGCAAATCGATGAGCTCGAGTTATGGTTCTTCGGAGTTTTTGATCCGAGGATTGGCGATGGAGTTACCAAGTTTATTCAGTCTCATTTCTTTGATAAGAAGCCTAAACAGGTAAACTAATCATATATATATATAATCTGTTTTCATCCTTCAAAATTTTAAAACTTCGTCTCCTCTATGAATTTGTATGTGCAAGTGTAGAATGAGATTTTAATGTCGAAAACTATTATTGCAGTCTCGAATCAATAGGAAGACGAAGGAGACGATGAAAAAAGCATATCTCGGAGCAAGAGCAAAGGCGATAGAGGCGCAGAAGGAAGATGAGACGGTTCGAGCAGGGTCGGCGTCTGTGATGGTTATCAATGGAGAAAAGCTTGTGATGGCCAACCTGGGTGGCTATAGAGCCGTTGTATGTAGAGATGGTGTGGCTCATCAGCTGAGCAGCAAGCATCATGGTGGAGCCAGAAGACTTTGGACTCGTAGGCTGTTTCCAGGTATCGTAACCAGAGTTTATATCATTCGGATCTTCGATTTTTGAAATGTACCATAATCTGATGCTGTTTTGTGTGTCATATTTGTGCCTAAAGTTCGTATATTAGTATGCGATTCGAGCGATGCAGAAGCTATAAGGCACCCCAAGCGCTCAGAACTTGCTGTTGGGGCCGAAAAGCTCGATGCCGACACCGAGTTCATCATCATAGCAAGCACCGGAATCTGGGAGGTATGTCGAAATAAAACCATTTGTTGTAGTGCTCAGGTGCATTTTCCGACACCACGCCAGAGTCTAGGTAACGTTGGCTTGAGCTGCAACTCGTTCTGATTATTATGTGCACTGTGCTGTTCATTCCAGGTGATGAAAAATCAAGAAGCTGTGAATCTCATCAGGCATTTGGAAGATCCACAAGAAGCAGCTGAGTGCCTGACAAAGGAGGCTTTAACGAGGATGAGCAAGAGCAACATCTCATGTGTCATCATTCGTTTTGATTAGTAGTATTGTGTTCTCAGAATCCGTTTACATGTATCAGTGAATCTGAATTTGCAAATGAAACCTTTTCTTCCCCTTTTTGTAATAAAATGGAATATTTTTTTTATTTTAGGATAAATTAATTTCGTATTTAGTTTAAGTATTGAACTATTAAATTATTAACAACGATAATGTGTCAGCTTGGTTTGTTGATATATTGCTGATATAAAGATTTTTTCTTTTACTTAATTTTAGTTGTCGCTGAAACTCGACATTCTCTAATGTCTTTTATGATCTTCTTGGATATTGATAAACTTGTCTTATTATCCTCTATCATTTTATCAATTTGAATTTTCTCGAAACTATCGAAAATAAACATAAAAACTTTATTATTTTTTTGGAGATTAAGGGCTCCGATTTAAAGTGTTGGAGTCTTATCGAACCTTTAGATGAACGTTAATCAATTTTAAATATATTTTATAAAAAAATTAATCTGATAAGAAGAAAAAAGGAACAAGATACAAAATATTTTGTGCTAATCTTGCTGAAAATGACGATTAATGATAGATAATAATTGACCAATAAAAACAGCCAAAGGAATTAACAATTTTTGCAAGGACCAAATTAATATAAAAACTAATGTGCACTATCTAAAATCGATATGTTTTAGAATTTAGTAACAAAATCAATATGCAAACTAAAATACATAAAATAGAATTGCCACATCATCACACGTCACACCCTGTTTATATTGAATCCAATACCAAAGTTCAGTGGGATTAAAATTGAAGCAGTTAAAAATTAAATGGTAAAAACGAGAAAGAACCAATAATTCAGTGGTATTTGGGGTAAGTTCACTCATTTTATAAAAGGTTGCGGCCTAATGGAAGAACCAAGATAAACCCCATGTGACTTCTTCAACCGTTGTTCACAAATAAATACGAACAGAAACCGATGAAACCCCCAATCCTTGTGTTCTATGACGGTAAGATTTCTCATTTACAGTAAACAATGGCAGAATTCATGAATGCATAAGAAAAGTAAATATAAATTGGGAGGAAAAGTCGGTACGAAACCGATTCAGTTCAAGAACATTAACCAATGAGAGTGGCTGCAGAAAGACCTTTTTTTTTACAAACATGTCCATGGAAAAGAAATACAAAGTTCATGGCTTCAACTTCGTCGTCAAGCCATATGCTTCTTTTCACTGGTCTTGCTTCGGAATGGTGACAACATCGAAAACGAGCGAGAAGCTGCATGATTATATATGTAGTCATTTAGATTCTCCACCTTAATGATGTAAGAAACTGATATTTGTGAACATTGGGGAAGAAAAGGAATCAAAGCGCAATAAGCAGCAAATACTTACATTTTTGTGGAGTAGTATCGGCTGTGGGGGTCTCATCCTGAGAGATCAGATTCTTCAATAAATGAACTGATAAAAATCAGAAAACAAGTCAGCTTCGGAATCAAATTCAATCGAAGTTCACAAGGGATGGAACACAAGGCAATTACCTTCACTGGATGAGGCAGCATTTGGAACCAACTCTTCAGCCTCACCGCTTGAGTCAATACTATGCTCGCTTCTAGCCGAGCTATGATTCTTTTTTCCGAACTTCAACAGCCGTCGGAACCCTTTCGATGAGTCCTTTACCTGAGGCCTATCCAACACCTCAGGAATCTTTTCTAGTCTCAAGTTATTAGTGTCAGCTACAAGAGCTCTAACATTCTCTGAGTTTGTTGTTGCAGCTGGCATGCTAGCTGGAGGCGCTCTAACATACTCGGAAATTTTGGTACATGGATCTTCCATAGAAGAGATCCGGGCTAAAGGAGCTTGATACTGTTTTTCAGTAACACTTGTACTAGTAAATTCTGACAATTCCTTCTCTGTGTCACTTACATTTGCCTTTTGAACCTGCAAATAAATACAGCATATTTAGAGGCACATGAACAAGAAATGATAATTAGAACTGTAAAATTCTGGGCTGATTTTTTTATAAATCCTACCTCATAAGCTCGTTGTTTTTGTTGTACCTGTTGTTCTTTATCAAGTGCTTCAGGGTTCAATGAAGAAACTGGTGCATGAATGACAGCATAATCTGACACCGTCTCAGTTTTCCTCCTGATTTTAAAAATGCCATCATTTTCCTTCTTAACTACCGTAGTTCCTTCGGATGAGTTTACTGCAGGAAAAGATTCAAGCATCACAACAGTTTTCTCAACCACTGTACTGTCGTCCCCATCAGTATGAAGTGAAACTTCTTCCTTGTTCCTACTTGATTCGGTAACATCGGTGGTCGAAGAAATACTTCCAGTCACCTTCTGAGTCATTTCATTTCCTCCCAATTTGCCGCTGGTAACATCAGGGGATTTAGTTGTTTTAATTTTGAGCTCGGGAAGAGATGCAATCTTACTCATATCATGGTTCACAATTGCTGATATTTTTTTGCTTTCAGGCACACCAGATGCTTTTGTATTCTTTGATGGCTCGGAGTGCCGCGACCTCACTGAAGAAACAAGCGGGCTGCTAATTGTTTTTGGTTCTGATAATCTCCTAATCCTTGCCATAGATGTCTTCGTATCAGGAGTTACACCACCATTGTCTTTCTTCGGTTCAGGCAAAGATGAAACTGACTGGCTTAACCTATTTCCACGGGATGGGGTTCCAGTGTTTAGTTTGCTGGGTTTAGAAACTTTGTGAGAACCAGCTGATCCCACAGAAGCAGGCTTGATGGATCTTTGTAGTGGCGATGATGGTCCAGGCTCACCATAAGTAAACTTTGATGCCTTATGAGAGCTCGGAGAAAGTTTTGATGGCAAATGTTTAGAGCTTTGTGCGGCTACTGACGACTGAGCCAAAACAGAACCGCCTCTAGCAGCAATTCTCTTTTGTCTCTCCATCTTCAATGCTTCAAGTCGTTTAATTTCAGCCTCTTCCTGAAAATGTGTTAAAAAATGAATCACTAATAACATTACCGTTTGTAAAGAGAGCTGAGGTGTACTACAAGCATTCGAAGAATTCAATGCACCAAAAGCAGCATACCTTCTCCTTCTTTAGCTTCTGAAGATCAGCTTTATAGGTTCTTAGCCTCTCGGCTCGGACTTTTGCTTCATCCAAAGGACTCAGTTTCGAAAGTTTTCCCCTCCTTATTGGCCCTACAGCCTTCTTTTTATCAGAAGGATCGGCAATAAGTTTTAATTTTCGGTCCTTTTCACACTTTTTAGACCCTTGCATTCCCTCATTATTTTTCTTACTCGGTGAAGTACCATCTTCAACATGAGACTGCATTTCATAATCCAAAGCCGGATCATACCCTATTGACCCCATTTCTGCTCCACGCTCAGGCATCAAAGTCAAATCATCAGGTTCATAATTGACCTGGCTTCCAATCCCATTAGGTATATTTTCTGCTTTCTGAAGTGACAACGAGAAATCATAATCCATATTGATATCACTGCGGTCATCGGTTCCGACTTGAGTGCCTGAAGTGGACCTGAATGGTACTATGTAGGAATCATCATTTATGTTATTTGATGATCTTCTTTCCAAACCGTTGGATGAATGTTCAAACCGGTCAAAAGTCTGTGGATCTGATGGAGAATTTGCAAAATCTGACAGATTTTGTTGTCTATCTACGATGAATTCATTGTTTATGTTCCTTCGATAAACCCTCTTGCCATTCATTTCACGATCAATGAAAATTCTGCCATCATTAACAGTGTGATCACCTCTTCCAATAGTCGAAGACTGATCATTTGATCCTTTAGGCATGCGAGAGCCACTTGCACTAATTTCATGCATGTCAGTTGCATTCCCTTCTTCGAACTGACCCATTTCTCGCCCCCCAAAAACTAAAGGGTCTTCGCTTCCACGCACCTGGTTCGGTCTTCTCTTTCCTTGAACTTCCTTTTCTGTTGAAAACATTTCTCGGTCAGTTCTACGTTCTTCGTCTTCAGCATCCCTAAGTAAATAAGTTTGAAATGCTTGCCAGTGTCCACCATCGGTCTCCTTCCCATTAACTGTTTCTTCCCTATCATATGCATCAACAGACTTTGTTCGACTTCCATTCACCTTCGAGGATCTCTGAGAGTTCTTATGCTCAGTGTCTCCATCTTCCACATCCTCTTCAGAACAAGAATGCGACTGTGAATCACTACCTGAAGAGCTCTCCCTCTTTGAAGTGATATAATTGATGTTCCGTATGACCACCATTCCCGACTTCTTTTTACTTGACTTGCTACTCTTCTTTATCGATTTTGAACTTGGTGAATTTTCATTCCCCAACTCCTCATTATCTTGGGAGTTTGCTCTCCCAATCTCCCAAGTATCTGATCCACTATGGCTTTCCCTGCTATCCATCGAATGCCGTTTCTGTATTTTTTTACCAACATTGTTTCTTGGATCCTCCATTGATGGATAAGGTTGCTGAAAGAAGGGACTACCTCCAGGGTAATTCGGGTAGTAAGGCATCCCTTGCATAGGATATCCTTGAAAGGGTGGCATACCACCCGGTGGAGAATGGATAGGCCAGGGAGGAAACATGGGGTGCGGATACTGAGACTGGTAATATTCTTGACGACTTGGGGTTTGTTGATCCATTGGAGGTTTCTCATCTGTCCATATCAGAATTTTATTCATTTCAGTTCATACTTTAGGTGAAAGTAGCAAGCATGAATAAAATATTTGTCAAGCATACAAAGGAGGTGTTAAAAGAAAATGGATGAATGCCATAAATCGAGATTCCAGGGATCGAAACCAAGCAAATTGTGTGGGTGGAAAATTGGACGGGAAAACTCAATACCTTTTAAATTACCAAACAAAATTATAACATGAGCTACTTAGCTCAAAAACACATACCTATACTTGATTCGACACCAGATTTTCCGTTGTTCTCGGAAAACACGATGCCAGTTGCATTCATAGGAGGGAAATCAGATCGACAAGACATTGCTTCAGCTGCTTCAATCTCAAGCCACTGCCCAGTTTCATGCTTTCTTTTCCGTAATTCATTAAATTTTATACAAGCATCCCTGCAATGAATAAAGAACTTAATTAAGAGACCATTCACAGGTGCACAAATTACTCTTCCAGTGGGTATCATAGATGGAAAACTGTCATCTTAAACTCGAGAAATTTTGGACTAAGAGAAACACCCGATTAATATATGACATGTAGTCACCAATAAGATTATATATATGGTTGCATAGAACTAAGTTGACTGTTTGAAAATTCCACATACTTGAAACGAGAGGCTCCAAAAGTTTCAGCAAATGAAATCAAAGGCGCCACGTGATCAATGTCGAAACCGGCAGCTACAGCACGTGCAAAGGCCATACTTTGCTCTTTATGCAGCACTGTCTTCCTTGTCTCCAGGACTTTCAAAAGTTGAGCTCTAGTGAAAAGTCGAAACTCTATGTTATGTATGGCCTTAAGATTATTCAAACAAGTTAAACATATATAAAGAGACGATAATTCAACATTATGTTCTTCATTGTTCCTCAAAACCATTGATAATATTGGATTCAATATCCTCAATTACAGTTTGTCCATTCAGTCACACTACGACATACTTAGAATTTCCCTCCACAGAAGACGAGTTCGCTTCAGGATGCAGTGCATTAGGCTGCAAGGAAGAAAACAAGGTTTAATCAAATTTATTAGATGATCTAATACTGCTAATGGTTATTTGGTGTATACTAACCGAGTAAAGGACGATGGCTTTCTCGTCATTGGAATCTGGTTTAGCCCTGCTGCCTGTCGAAAGCCATCAGGAACAATACAAGAACAAATAAAAAATTAAAAGATGAACGAAAGAGAGTTCGGAACTAATGCTGAAAGGTTTGAACAAATATGACACAGGTTCACCAGGAAATATGAAATAGTATGACTTTTCGGTCCATAAATCCATCCCTAATCTATATTAAAAACAGCACCAGTCCAGTTAGACAGAAGACCATAGGCAAATAAGTTACTAACAGTACCTTCTGTGCCGGCACTTTCTGCAGGCTTTACTTGATGTTCTTCTACCTGTCGAAAGACACAAGAACATGTATAATTAATCTCTATGGTATACATATAATAAAATAAAACTCCTACAAACATTACTTACAGCACTCAATCCTATAGTGTTATTGCTTTGAATTGCAATAGCCTCTTCAATCTGCAAAATTTCGGATTCGACGGTATACACTCGTTCCAAGATATCGGGAGTACTAACGAACCGAACAAACCTGCAAATGCCACAAAGAGAAATTACCATCTCATGTAAATTTCAAGGGGAAGGTAAGGACTAACCGGAGATCCATTTTCGACAATTTCGACAACAAGATCAATAAGCATTATAGACTCCACCATCACACTAGAATAAGGGAAAAGACTCATCAAATGAAAATAATCCCAATAAGAAAGAAGCACCAAATAAAGATTATCTGAACCTTTCCACTGTCCCTTTTGTGAACCAAGATGCATCAATGGTGGGGTCTGGTTGAAGGATGATTGAATAACCCCCTTTGGTCATCTGCTCTTGTGCAGTCTTCAGATGGGCAAGGAATGGATTAAGCAAGCCAGAAGCCATTTTCTCAGTCTTCCCATTTGCAGATATCACCAAATCACACCTGGTGAAAGTGAAAGCACAACATAGTGATTTATATATACAATGGTTACAACCAAACAATACCCAATTGCAAAGAACTCTGATGCTAACACTATGAAGCTAAATATTAGCAATATATATATATAATCCTGACCTGGTTCGAGTTGGTGTGAGCTGGAACACCACTGAGTCAAGTCGAGCTGAAGACTTCATGCTTACCCCTCAAAAAACAGATCTTTGATGGTGAAAAAGGCTGTTATGAAATGTGGAGAAAAACATAAACAAAAAACAGCAAATATTTCATGAAAATTCCAGAAAAGGAACAGATTTTGACATTTTGGCTGTAAAGATAGCTCACTCTGGTAAACCAAAACAAGGTTAGCAGTGCCTCGAGGAAAAGGAAAGTTCTGAGAGAAACAATGGGGTTTTTTGAGAGAGAAAATGTGTCCTTTTTAGACAGAGAAATAGAAGATCCAAAGACTGCTTTGTCATAGACAATTGGCCAGGATGATATGCTTTGCTGGAGGTAGAAGAAAATGGGAATGTTCAGGGGTAGAATGGGAAGATAAAAAAATTGACTACGAATAATGAAAATGGTGAAGCATAAGCGGCAAATATTAGTACATCGGTTGATAATATGATTTGCTTTGGAATTTACAAAAATAGCCTTTTTTTTTTCCTGTTTTTAAGGTAATAATTTAAGGTGTTATAATGAAAGAGGAAAGGGGTCTCATCCCTCTTTTTTCTTTTATAATGGACCAATGATTATATTTTTCCGAAACTGATAATTCCATCCATAGAAAGTAGAGAATTATTGGTTTGAAATTAGAGGTAAATGGGGGCATAGAAGTCAAAACCATCATTGTATTTTAATGGCCTTAAATCAAGGAAATCTAAATTTAAATTATAATTTATTTTTTATAATTATTAGTATTTGTTTTATCGATAAATTAATAAAGAGCAAATATTTTATAAACCTATTTCTCGCATAACACTTTTAATCTAACCTATTTTATTTATAATATCAAATAATTTTAATCAATTTGATATTTAATATTAATAAAATAATTTGACATATGTATTTATTTGTCTCTACAGCTTACTTTTTGCTATGATGAAATTAGAAGGGTGAATATATGGTTTGGTACTTGTACTTTGTTTTGAGGTTTAATTTGGCACCTAAACTATTTTTGTTCAATTATGTAAGTAAATTTGACTATTTAGTTTAAATTAGTATCTAAATTTAGATTTTTTTTTATTCAAATAAGTACTTAAGATTTTTAACAAATTTGAATCAAGAAATTATGTGTGTGTACAGTGTACCTATTTCAACTGAAAAAATAAATACATATATCAATTCAAACTAAATGGTCAAATTCAAGTATCCTAGTGGGAGAAAAATATAGGAATGTCAATATATAAAAAATATATTTATTGTCAGATTCAATTTTATCAAATTATGCTATTAGTATATGTATTTTGTATAAGTTATGAATCTAGTTTATAATAAATATTTTTTTATTAGTCTTTAATAAGTACAAGATAATATTTATTCGAAAAGTTATTCTCCATTTAACAATGAACTTTCAAACATTCTTACAGATGACGTGCTCGAAACTAAAATCTTTAAAAATAACAGTCATCTATTTTACCAATAAAATTGTTTGATTTGTTTTACGAGACGATAATATTAAATATAAGTGGTTGTACGATGAAAGAGATATATAGATTTTATGTGAAAAATTCTAAAAGAAAAATCATGGAGAGATGAAAGAAATTCATCATAATATTAAACTACGAGGATTTACATTTTACAGTAATAGAACATCACACATTCCAATGTTTCACCCTACCATAACCTATTACTGTACGAATTGGATATGTGATGCTTCGGTTCGAGGCTTCGAGCCTTTACATGACTACATCCACCACAAACCCTTTTTTTTCTTCTTCTAATTATTTTCTTCCACTAATTGAGTCTCACCATAAAAATTAAAATTTTTAAATTGGATCAGAACATAATTCAAATTGCAAAACTCTAACATAAACATGCACTTGAATAATTAGATATTCTTTAAGCTAATGGGTCAATTAGGTTTTCTTCAAGGACATTAGGTATTTCAGTTGGGATTTATGGATTTGGTCCTTTAATTATTATTTGGTTAGGGTTAAAATTTATAGAATAATTGTTTGCTATTTGTAATTTATAAATATAAATATATAATCTGTAACCCCTAGACCCAACATATACGTTACGACTAGATCTAATAGATTACATTAACGATCTCAAAATATTTTTAAAATCGTAGTATTATTAAATAGGTAAAATCAAACAACGTAAGACATAAAAATCCATTAGTATAACAAAATATGGTATGTCGTAAGTAAATTGAATATGAAATATAACAATAAATATGTACATTAGTAGCAAATCAGAATACCTCATAAAACTTATAACACAAAATAACACAAGGCGCATGCTCCAAAAAAAATCAAACCAAAAGATAGAAACATTGCAACAAAAATATTGTAGCTGATGTGTCGATCCTCCAAGTGTCAGGTCAGGGGTGTTTATCTAAAAGTATCTGAAAGAGAAAAAGTTTGGGAAGTGAGCCAGAGAACTCAGTGAGTCCAATAGTGCAAATAAAACATAATGAGTAAAATAATCATGAAGTAATTCAGTAAATTATCATAAAGTCATAGTGAAGTTAAATTCTAAAACTCATAATTACTCTCCTCCTGTACACCAAAATGCAGTTCCCCAAAACTGCATCCATAAGGGCTTACCATATACCCAATGGGTATAGGAGCCAACTTAAGGGAGCATCTTGGGGCCTGAGAGCCTACCCAAGAAAGTTCTTGAGGCCTCAGAGCCTACCCAAGGGTCACCTTAGGTCCGTAAAGAATTATCAGCTTGATCATAGCTGAACCTTCATACTCCAGTATCTTATCCAAAACAGTATCTCAATAAAACAATTCACATAGTAAGTAGTAAATTTCATGATCCATAAATCGACATAATAATATTTTCCAGTGAAAACAAGTAACCAAATAACATATATCAAACAACCTTAGTTCATGATAATTCAACCAGTAAATCATAATATCAAACTGTTAAAAGATTCAGTAAATCAGTAATTTCGGTAAATCACATTTCAAAACATATTAAAACAATCATATAACACTTAGGGAATACACCTATCAAAAAGGGATCAATCAACAAGTCTAATGAGCACATGCCTCGCCACGCTCTGCAACAGTGCTCAAACCTAATTCATAATTCAACAGAGTTAATATCTGAATAATATTTTAATTCGAATATTCTTAGAGTCTAAATATCATACGAGTAATCACTGGCTCACGGGGTCGAACGGATCGAGAGGAGTTAGGTCGAGTTGTCAAACGATCGTGAGAATCAATAGTACATTCACATAATAACACACGAATTAATCATTGTCCATAATTTAAAATGCGCTTAAATAAAATGCTTAAATATATATGTATGTTCGAGTTTAACAGTTAATTTTGAGGCTTTAGGGTTCGAATTTGACAAAACATATTTCAGATTCGGACTTAGGACATCGAAAAATATAAAATACGACTTCTCAAAAAAAATTGACTTTTCGGTCAAAGTCAACGTTAGTCAAAATCAACTATAGTAAAATTCGATAGTCGGTCAAAGTCAATGAGTTGACTCAGTCGAGTTGACTCAACTTGACTCGGTTCGGGCTGACTGGATCGATTCAGTTTGACTGAACAGATTCCAGAAGCCTCATGGATTGGTTATAAAGCCCACGCGCACCGACAGTGCGTGGTGGCACGTGCGGCGGCGACAAGGAACGTTGAGGACGACCGATCACTCTACAAGCTGCAATTTAACATTTCTAACCCAACTTAACTCAAAATCAAACTAATATCTCGATGAAAAATTGAAAAAAGGTGGTTGAAAGTCTTACCCACGACGAACGGCGATGACGCAACAACGGGTGACCAAAACTCTTGGGTTTCGATCGCACGATGCTTATGAAGCCAATGGGAGTGGCGGTGAGGTGAGATGGGCATTAGATCAGCCAAAAAACGTGAAAAATTAAGGTGACAGGTAGGGATGGGCATGGGTCGGGTCGAGTGTTTGGTCCACCCAACCCGACCCGAGAATAAGGAGTCCTCCACCCGAGACTCGACCCGACCAAAACAAGTTTTTACTCGACCGATATATAACTTAAAAACCCGATCTGAAATAATAATAAAAAATATTTTTATTCAATAAAAACAGTAACTTAATTGGATAAAATAATATATAGAGGGGGTATTATTGTAATTATTCCTAAATATATAAATATCCACCCGACTCGACCCGAGAATAAGGAGTCCTCCACCCGAGACTCGACCCGACCAAAACAAGTTTTCACTCGACCGATATATAACTTAAAAACCCGATCCGAAATAATAATAAAATATTTTTATTCAATAAAAACAGTGACTTAATTGAAAAAAATAATATATAGAGGGGTATTATTGTAATTATTCCTAAATATATAAAGTAAAATTATATTTTTTTTGGGTCGAGTATTTTCACCCTAAACTCGAACTCGACCCATCCCTAACGACAGGGGGTTAGCTAAGTTTTGCGATGAACTTTTATGGAAAACGGTGCCGATGTTCGGTGTGAGGAGGCTCGGGGTTTGGACGGAGGACGATGGCGAGCCGATCGGTGGTGGCAGTGTATTCAATGACGACCGGGCGACGCTAAATCGACAGTGGAAATGGCAACGACAACTTAGGGATTTAGGGTTAGTAAATTAGAGGTTTGGGGTTTCCAAACTGGAATAAAGGGATGATTTTGGGTATTTTAACCCGAGCCGTATACAATAAAAGATATTTTTCTTATTTTAAACAACAGTATCTTGGCTAAGGCATGAGTGGCCATAATCCTAGGGTCATGGGTTCAAACCTCTCAACCACCATTTTTCTATTTTTTACCGACTATAAAGGGAAAAATTCAGGATTAAATTCCTAAACTTCCTAAATATTCAAACTGAGTCGTAAGCTTCTGAAACTTGCAATTTAGTCCATAAAATCAACTATATTAATTTTGCAATTTTAATTAAAAAAAAGAGGTGTGACATAATCATTATATTCAAAATAAGTTAATTACATCATATGTCCTTAAACTATAATTATCATTTTAAATTAGTCCTTAAACTTTTGAATATTCCAATTTCATCCCCAAATTAATCTAAATATGTAATTAGTTTCAACCATATTTTAACCTATTTTTTTCAATCATATAATAACATAACTTGACCTAACGATTTTATTAACAAGAGATGTGATTAGTATATACATATAGTTTGGGATGAAGTTGGAATATTCAAAAAGTTTAGGGTTAATTTAGAATGAAGGTCATAGTTTGGGGATGAAATTGAAATGTTTAAAAGTTTAAGGACTAATTTAGAATGATAATCATAATTTAAGGATGAAATTATAATATTTAAAAGTATAAGGATCATTTTAAACTAAAAGTTATATTTTGAAGACATATGGTACAATTAGTTCTATTTAAAATATATAAAATAAATCCAAATAATCAAGACTACAATATGGAAATTGGCCTACTATTATGTCCAACCCCGCTTTTGGGCCTCGCATTTGTATTAAATTCTTCCATTATTATGGTGGATTATATAGCTATCACCATTTTATTTTAACTTGATTCATAAAATTATAATCCTTTTTGGGTTTTAGTCAAGTTTTCAAAAGAATAAAGTCAGGATGAGTCGAATTTTAGTCTAAAATAAACAAATTTAATTTTAAATAAAAATATTTTTTTTTTGAAAAAATGTTGATTTTATTCATCCAAAAAGCCAACTATTCACAACTAATTACAAATCACAAATAAATAAACACTCACCCACCCCATAACAAATAAGAATGGGCATGAGACCCGAATCCGATAGGTTCCGACCTGATTGGGTCGGGTTTTTTTATAAAAAAATCGGGTTCGTGTCATTTTTTTTATATGATATTTGGTCGGGTTCGGGTTTAGAGTGAAAAATACCCGACCTGACCCAAAAAAAATATAATTTTACCTTTTATATTTAGAAATAATTATAATAATATCCCTCTGTATATTATTTTTTCCAATTAAATCACTGTTTTTATTAAATAAAAATAAAATTTTTATTATTTCGAATCAGATCGGATCAGATTTTTAAATTATATATCAGATCGAGTCGGGTCGGATCAAATCTCGAGTGAAGGACTCATTGTTCTCGGGTCGAGTCGGGTGGACAAAAACCCGACCCTGCCCATCCCTAATAACAACATGCAGAAAAGTGACTAAACAAGTTTAAACCTGCAGAAAAAACAGAGCAGGGTAGAAACAATCCAAGTCAAATCCACTCTACAGCAAGAGTAAAAGAGGGGGATACAATATTTTCAGTGGCGGATACATAAAAATTTTATTGGGTGGACCAATAATATAGTAATTCTTTTTATCTAATATAATTTGAATATATTTTTTAATTTAAAAATATAATAACAACTATATATATTAAAACTAAATCTAAAAAATATCAATTAGACCAATATAATTTTGTGTAAACTGCATATCGAATATCTAAGCTATTACTTTTGTTCCGTTTTTATACGTAAACTTTATTTTTTTTAAATCATACCTAACATTTAATTTATGTTTTATTTTAGCATCCCTCCATTAAAAACTTAACGGTGATGTTGACGTGTCACCATAAGGTAATGTCATATCATCGTTGAAAAAAATATAAAAAATGTCACGTCGGCAGTTCTGTTAATTTTTTAAAGGCGAAGTATCAAATTGAAACATAAATTAAGCGTTAGATGTGATTTTGAAAATAAATAAAGTTTAACTACCAAAACAAACCAAAAATTCAAACCTTTGTTGGCAAACAATTGAGGAGAACAAATCAAGCGATAAACCTTTGAAGATAAAAAATATAATTGTTCTCTAAATATTTAGAGATAATTAATATAATGTCCATCTTTATATTTTTCAGTTTGGTCCTTATTTTACCAAAATGAAAATGGATTTATATATATATTTTTATAAGATCGAGTCAAACACGAATTTTTATCTCATAATTCGAATCGAGACTCATGTCAAATAAATTTTTTCTAAATCAAAATTAAATCAAGTGTTAAATAAAAATATAATATTCAAATTAAATTAAAATAAATTAATAAATTAAATTCAACTCAACTCATAACAATCTCTAATTATACATGATTTAAAGAGATAATTCGATTCTCAAGCAAGTTTATTTGAAATCTAAAGTTGCATGAGAATGTGTGAACCCTTAATCCATCATTGATCATGGTTGGTAGAGAATGATGTCCCTCTTTTAGTAAGACTGCTCATGCTATTGATTTTTGGTAGATGCTATTGTCCATTCTTTGATTGTGACTTGTTAACCATTCATCGTATGACAACTAGTTCTTGTGAGGCTTTTTTTAAGAGTTGATTAAAACCTACACCCCCTAATTATGACTCCTAATCTAGATTAGTCCCTAAACTATTTTATATTTTAATTCTATCCCTAAACCATGACTCTCATTCTAAACTAGACCCCAAAGTTGTGAACATTCTAAATTTATCATCAAAGTATGACCCTTATTCTAAATCAATTCGGACCGACCTGTGTCGTACACTTGATTTTGGTGGGTGAGCCTCTCAGAGGGGATTTTATGCATACACAAGGACTCGAACTTGAGACATACTTAAGCAATATCAAGCTACTTACTACTTGAACCAACCCCCGGTGGTAAATCTATACTATTACTTTATAATATCGTTTCTTTAATTGTTAACTTATCTTGTTAATATTACGATCTACTTATACAATATAAAACTCTTTTAGTTGTGCACAGATTTAGAACCGTTTAATGAGTGAAAATAGATTACTGATATTAACTCTTTTTTTTAGTTAATATATTCTATTTTTCTAATGTTAATCTCATCCGTATTTTTTTGTTTATTCAACTATCCTAAATATATGTAAAATTAGAAAGAATTTTACAAAACTAAACCAACATTTATTTTAAATGGGAAGAATTGAGAATGGGACATGTGATTGAGGTGGGGATAGTGAGAAGAGTAGTCATTTTTAGGGGTATTATGATTGGATCAAATTCAATAATTAAGAGGCAGAGAATGGGGCCTTATACTAACTATTAAAGTTAATCAAACACTAATTATTTTACATTTTTGTCTAACCCTCCAACATGATACAAGTAGAAGAATCCAATGATTATGAAGCTGTGAAGATGATAATATATATATATATATATGCGTGAACAAAATATATATTAAGAAAATATCTTTATTAAGTGTTTATTTTATAATTTTAGTTATAAATTTTCATTATAATTCGATTATTTTCTATTTTTAATAAAATCTAAACTTTTTTTAAACAAATTAGTTTTATCAAATATCTTAACGAAGCTAAATCTAACAACACAACAAAATTAATATTTTAAATTCCTTTAAGAAATAATATTTTATTTACATCAAACATATAATTATTCATTGAAGTTATCTATAAGCACCACAAACAATACAATGAAAAATGGTAAAAATGTTGCTTTCTCAATCCAACACAAAGATTAAAAGGGATAAGGTACACTACAAGTTTCTCAAACTATACTCAAATAATATTTTAGTCATTTTATATTTTATAAATCATAATTTTTTTATAGTCATAAAATTTGTTTAATTTAAGAAATTATTTTATTAAAATTTGATTGATTTAATAATTATTTTATAATAATTTGATAAATTTAACGATAATTATATAAAATCTATGTCACGATAATAATTTTATAAATGTTTGATAGATTTAATAATTTATAATCATTTAATAATCATTTTAAAGACCAAAATTAAAAGTAAATTTTGTTGAAAAAAACCTAAAAATACGAAAAATTCCACCCAATATCATATTCAGAGTCATTACTTTCTCTTCTTCAAATCATCCGGTTTTTCTTCCTTTTTTTCCTTCAAAAAATTTCCCGAGAAAATTGAATCCTTGTCCTAAACCAAGACCTGTAGATCTCACCCCGAATTCTTGCCGATAAATATGTTTCTTTTAGATTCTTTTCCCATATTCCTCCTTTTCCGGGGCACATAAAAACATACTTTTTTCCCATTAATAATATCTAAGTTTTATTGCTCTCAACCTTTTTGTTTCCCCATCCGGAAAATGCAGCTTGATGACCCTAAAACGCATGTTTTTGCCGAGCTGATCAACGAGCATTCGTTAATTTTCAATCAAGTTTCCTACCTTTGTTTGGCTCCTTTAGTCACTTGAAGGGGTAACTATTTTTTTTTTATAATTCTTGGAGATTCTTACAAGGATTCAGTAATCTGGGTTTTGTTTTCCTGAGTTGATAGATAACAATTTTGATGGATCTGAGATGTAGTTTGAGGAGAAACGGTTTGAGTCAATTTCAATGTTGAAAGTCAATTTCAATATTAATAAAGTGGAATAAGAAGGGAGGGTTTCTCTTTTATTGCGATAAACTAGAGTAAGATTCGATCATGGAGCATATTATCGGTGGAAAATTCAAGCTTGGTCGAAAGATTGGGAGTGGATCATTTGGTGAACTTTATTTAGGTATTTTGGTTAATGATTTTTAATTTCCTTCTCTCTTTTCAGTTGCTTTATTAATTTTTGATGTATATGTTTTTGCAGGCATTAATGTACAAAGTGGAGAGGAAGTGGCTGTTAAGCTGGTAAACTTTTTGGCGTTTTATTGCTTTTCCCCAACTTTAATTAGTAATGGTGGAAGTATTTTTCTTTATTTTTGTTTACTACAGTGTATTGGTTGATCACTAGATCTGCTAAAGTTGATGATCGATTTAGCTGAGGATTGTTGCAGTTGTATTTGATGTTATTCTTTGATGCATTTCTTTGTGGTTTATTCGCATACTGGTATTTCATATCATCGATCTGCTGTCGGGGCGTAGACTAGCTCATTAGTTGATTTATATGCATTTGCTACTGTGGATATGCTAGATTTAATGTTTGTATAGCTATTTCGTGAAAGGAGATCTAGGGGGACATCAGTAAAATTTTAAGTCCAAAGAAGTTCTTTTATACCTGTTGAATTCGAAGAAAATCAACTAGTGGATTTTGTTGTTCTTTTTTAAGTGGTTAACTGAGTTGGACTTGGAGTTGGAGCTTAGATGTTTGCAATTAGTTAGAGGTTGCTCAGAATATAACAATATGGAGTGAGCTATAAGGGCATTGCTGGAGAGTTATATCGATGCTTGCTTTTTATAATGATAGAAAGGATAAAGGACTTACGGGGTAAAATTTTGTTTGACTGTGACTTACTTTGAGAATTCTTAGGGTTTTTTCCGTGGGACCTTGTATTTTATTATAGGGACGGAATCTTCAATTATTTGAGCTGCTAGTTTCTGGTGATCTGCTTAAGTGCTTAAAGAGTTTGTCAAGTAGTTTAGTTGTTGGATTGTTGTTGTACTTCTATATTTTCTTTTGCCACTTGATACTTTAATTGAGTTTCACGATCATGCTGATGTTTCATGTTTGAAGTTTTGGATCTGTCATCAATATGTACTCTTGTTTCTCAGGAATCTGCCAAGACAAAGCATCCACAACTTCACTGTGAGTCAAAGTTGTACATGCTTCTTCAAGGGGGAAGTAAGTTTTGAATTTCTCTTGATCTATATATTATGTTCAGTACTAATCATTGAGTAGTTTACTTACTTTCTTTACGTGTACAGCGGGTATTCCACATTTAAAATGGTTTGGAGTTGAGGGTGAATACAATGTCATGGTTATTGATCTTCTTGGACCAAGCTTAGAAGACTTGTTCAACTATTGCAATCGGAAGTTTTCTTTAAAAACAGTTTTGATGCTTGCAGATCAGTTAGTAAGTACGCTACCTATTTCAGAAGCTTTAATCTAGTCAGTTGGCTGCCTCACTAATAATTTGCTCTTTCTTGTTGCTTCAGATAAATAGAGTTGAGTACATGCACTCCCGGGGTTTTATTCACCGTGACATAAAGCCTGATAACTTTTTGATGGGTTTAGGGCGCAAAGCAAATCAGGCATGTTGTTCTGTTTAATCCCTGCAGCATATGTTTTTGGTTAGATAATTTCAACAAGGTTTTCATGCAAATTTTAATTCATTTGAAATATAATATCCCTAGCAGTATTGATCTTTTTACCTTAATTGAAATTCAGTTTGACATATTAGTATTGTTCAAGTTGATATACACCAGGGTCTTTAAGTTTCTGTTGTTGAATTCCATTGTTTCCCATTTTTCATTGCAGGTATACATAATTGATTACGGCCTTGCAAAAAAGTATAGGGATCTTCAAACACACAAGCACATACCATACAGGTAAAAAGTTCTTGATGTTTTTACTTGTAGCATTTTGATATTTTCTTTGACCGAGTGTTATGCGAAAAGAGATGATTAGAACTTTCATCAGTTATGTTTTTCAATTATTGTTAAACTTAAGGCATCCTTTTTGGGATTTCTAGACTTAAGAGTGCCTTGTAAACAATTTGGTTTCATATAATTAGCTATTTTGCGGAAAGCTTGATATTTATTATGCTTTTACTTTTAGCCATTAATTGTCAATTCTTCCATTAATGATAGCTCTCTATTGATATCATGTTATACGTACCACAGTGATCTCATGCCTAGCTATGGTTACTTATTAAGTTGTCCGTTTTTTTCTTGTAGGGAAAACAAGAATCTTACAGGGACAGCTCGATATGCAAGTGTTAACACTCACCTGGGAGTTGGTGAGTGAACTTACTGCATCGGGATTCATTTGTGTTCTACTTTCAGTGCATCCCTTGCCATTTGACTTTTTTGGCTTAATATTTGATCCGACTATGCTCCGTGGAACTTGCAGAGCAAAGCAGGAGAGATGATCTGGAATCTCTTGGTTACGTGCTTATGTACTTCCTCCGGGGAAGGTTGGTTGCTTACTTCATAAACCTTTTTAAATGCCGAGTCACATCATTAACTTTCTTGTTCCCTGTCAGCCTCCCATGGCAGGGTCTGAAGGCCGGTACCAAAAAGCAGAAGTATGACAAGATTAGTGAAAAGAAGATGCTTACTCCCATAGAGGTACCATTACTTGCTGTTAATCTGGGAAATTCTACTTATTATCCGTGTTCTAGAAATTGAAAATTGAATGCATGTATGATATGTAATATGCCATCTTCAGGTCCTTTGCAAATCATTTTCGTCTGAGTTCACATCGTACTTCCATTATTGTCGATCACTACGGTTTGAAGACAAACCAGATTACTCGTACCTGAAAAGGCTGTTTCGGGACCTTTTTATTCGTGAAGGTTAACTTGCTCATATATTGTTCACTTTTCTAATTATTAAAAATTTGATCGATCTCATTTGTTCATTACCACAAATTTGGATGAGATATTTTATCATAAAATCTGTTTGATTGAACTCCTAAATTAATTTGGTTTTGATAACTAACTGATGCAGGCTATCAGTTCGACTATGTATTTGATTGGACTATACTGAGGTATCCACAGGTTGGCTCTAGCTCAAGAGCACGGGTCAGTGATCTTTAATTCGAAGACCTTGATTTTCATGGAGATACTGATTTGTTTTTATTCGTTAAGAATTCCGATACTTATATTTCTTGTTGTTCCTCAACAGCCAAGCCCAAAGCCAGGTTTAAATCCCCCTGGAGCATCTGCTGAAAGAACAGAAAGGCCTTCTGGTCGGTTCCTTTTCACAACCCAATTTGGGAATATATTCCGACAATTTAACTGGTTATAAATTTTGACATAAATATCATATTTGAGACACCTGACTTGTCCATGTTCCGACTTGGGTTTTTCCTTAAATTAGTGAACTTACATTTATTATGCATATCTTTATTTACTGCAGTTGGACATGAGAATCGAGAAAGGTTCTCTGGTGCAGTTGAGGCATTTGCAAGACGAAACGGCTCTGGCCATGGTTTGCATGGTGATCACTTGAGATATAGATCTTCAGAGGATTTGACATCATCAAAGGAAGCGGTGAACAACCTTTACTTGTACATCTTACTTATTGTTTTCCATTAAATTTTGCTTTCTTTCTTGAAAATCAAAGTTTAATGTGTTAGCTATTTGCTACTGAAGTTAATGGATTTTCTTTTTGAACTTCTCTACTTCAGCAACCTGATTCTGATAGGATTCGCTCATCGAGAAATGATAGTGCTTCAAAGAGGCCTGTCGTATCAAGCAGCCGACCTGGCTCCTCTGGTGAGCCTAGTGAGATTCGTTCTAGCAGATTATTCTCGACCAGTGGTCGCTTGTCAACGACTCAGAGAGTTCAACCCGGTTTCGATTCCAAAGCATCATCTTTCACTCGTGCTGCAGCCACTAGAGGTGGCCTTGATGATACCCTACGGAGCTTCGATCTCTTGACAATTGGAAGTGGAAAAAGGAAATAAACGACAGATTCAACTGGTAAGAAGAATTTTCCCTATTCTAGTTTCTTCTGATGGAGATAACGGCACTATAACGGCATTCACAAACCGTTATATGCGTCTGTTACCGAGTTCCATCACAACAATCTCTTCAATGAATTCTATCCCTGGAAAAAAAAATATCGATCCGTCTTCTCAAACCGTTGTCAGGCAGTCTTGCTTGCTGTTATGATGCTTCTAGACTCGGGTATAAGAAAGAGATGAAAGATCCCATTTTAGGTAACTATTCATATGTTTCCAGCACTCTAGCTGTGTAAAAAAACCTTGATGTTTTATTATGCAACCAATCTAAAGGTAAATGTTGCTTCTCATGTCTCATTTCTGTGTAATATTATTTATATATAATATGTATATAATGCTTAATAAATTAGTAATATTTAAGCTCGTTTCACGTTGGGAGAAGTTTGTGATGTTTGTTGAGATAAGTATACGAAATATCATCCATCATGATGTCATCATGTATGCTTCTTAAAAATGATTTACAAAAAATTCTAAAAGTATAAAAATGGTGGATGAAATTAAAAATTCGAATATCAATGAGATTAAAAAACTTTTAGGCATTAATTTAGGAGAATGTATCTAATTTAGATGCCAAATTAGGTATTTAAAAAATTTTAGACACCAACTTAGAAGAAAATATCTATTTCAGATACTAAATGTTTATTTAAATCAATTTAATATGATTTGAAAGTATGATAGTAAATTTAGTTGGGGGGGGGGGGGAGATCAACAAAGGAACATGAAACCGGTTGACTGGTAAAGCTTTAACAATCACTAATCTAACCATGCTATGGCCTTTTAATTTTATTTAATTAGGTTAACAATTCACTTAATGATGTCAAAATGGGGTCTGTTTCAAATGCAACAGCAAATTTCGCCGGTGTTGATTCTTCAACGACCAATTTATGTTTCCCTCCACAAGTACCGGGCCACTTTCTCCCTCGAATTGTAAAACATCGGTCTAACCCTTCGTCTTAAGGTTCGACCACTTTGTTCCAAAGAACTAATGTCAACAACAGAGGTGTTATGACAAGGTATGGTTTGCAGCACCTTTGGGTTTATAGTTGAATGATAGGAGTATTGGCATAATGTTGAAGTGATCAGTGTAGGTCTAGAACTACAGTAGATGGATTGTACTAGATCAAGAACCTGTGGTAAGAAAACCCGGTTTATTTACTCGAATGCATTACTCGAAGAAAACCGGTTTTGGCTCGAATAAAATTATTTTAATTTATAGTGAAAGAATATTTACTTTCATATATCTATGATTAGTACTGTGATATTACAAAAGAACAATCACCTAGCTGATTCAAGAGACAATCTCATAATGTCAGCTCACTCTGTTTTCTCTTAAAAACTTTCCAATGAGAACTTGAAATGTAAGATGTGGCAAAACAAAAGCTACTCACCAAGTAAATATTAGCTTTATCGCTAAAATCCCACAGGCACTGCCGAACTGTGTCGGGTCATTTTCTATAATGTTCTCCGGGGGCTTCATGTTGCGGTGGCAAGATGTTTACGAAGCTCCCTTGAACAGGTTGACTTGCAGCTGAGGCAGACTCATCATCCTCTGCAAAATATATAGACCAATGTATGCCTTGGTCATACTACAATATCATGCCAAAACTTTCGCAGCTTCATAGATTGCATAAGCCACAAATCGGAGCTCGGCCGTGAAAAAAGTACGATAATAGTAATAATGTCTTACCGAAAAGGGATTTGATGGAGGGTCTCTTGGGTTTCGAGCTGTTCTTTTTTAGCTCAGCTGCAACAGAAAAAAATAAAAACGAGTTGAAAACAAAGATATTGCCCTTTGATGAAAGATTGAAGGGACAAAAGCAACAGAGGAAGCAAAATACCTATGCCGGGTAACTGATTGCCATTTACGATTTCAAAGTTCTTGTATGTGTAGCCCACAAAGAATATATCCTTGGATGAAAGCATCTGCATCAAAGGGTAAAATTAACCGTGTTGAATTAGGTTGAGTTCGATAATGTCCGAAACATGATGAAACATAACATATAAATCAAAGGAAACAGGCCAGTAAATGGCATGTTCCCATGATATATTTCACATGAAACAGGCTTCGTCATTTACGGAAAAGTAGCAATTGTATCTACACTAACCTTTCTCCATGGACCCGATTTTGCTGCAGATGGAATTTGGTTGTCAACCTGGTGAAAAGAAAAGAGAACAATAAGAATATGTCTAAACAGGTTGCCGCATATTTAAACGTAGCAACACTAGTCTACCTCTTCAAACTTCTCAAAATTTTGTGTGTCCAACTCATCGTTGACTTCAGGAATAAATGCAGCTTTCATTTGATATAATTTGTCCCATTCAACACCTTTAAACCATGGGTGAGCCTGAAAGAAAAAACAAATCCAACTAGTTAATTTAATTATTTGCATTCCATTTTAAAACAAAATCGAAGAATCTTAAACAGAACACAACACACACCTTAATTTCATTGGCACCCTTCGTTCCAAGCCTTTGCTCGACATTACATAAGAGTTTACTGATAAGATCTTTAGCTTCCAGGGATAGTTTTGCTTCTTCAGGAAATTTTAAGTGTGTTCTCCAATTTACTATCTGGAATATTTAAAACATAGAACAATAAGAAGTGTTAACTACTTTAGAGTTGCAATATAGAAGCTTATCACACAATGTTCATAAGTAAAGACGGACAAAAAGTAGTAATAACTTACCTTCCGACAGGTCGACATTGGCTCATCGGAATAAAAGGGTGGATATCCGACAAGCATTTCGTACATGATAGCACCAAGAGACCACCTGGAAAAGTATAAAAAAACCATTATAAGATATCTAAAAATATATTATCCTAAAAGAAGACCTCACAAATTATATATATTTTCAAAAAAATGTGTTTAATATACGAACCAATCACATTCCATTCCATATCCTTTTTTCAGCAAAACCTCTGGAGCAATATAGTCGGGCGTGCCAACCGTAGAATATGCCTGCGTATAACAAAATTTAAATGTTTAAGCAACATTATTTTGCAATATCAACAAAAAGAAAAATGAAAGCCCTCTAAATGAACTTAGCAGGAAAAAGAGGTGAGCGTGTGATCTTTCTATAGAATATCTAAGGTAACTAAAAGCTGAGAAATATACAAGCCTTGCAAATTCTATCGAATAAAGCCTGAACAATGGAAAATATGGAGAAACAAGTCTATAATTTCTTGCTTTCTAAACTGAATAGTACAACCACTAATAATGATAAATAATGTTTCATTAACTACATGGTAGTCGAGTAATTACAAGCATCCTTCTGTTCCTCTGCCAATGCTGCAGTTGCTCCTGTTGTGTGCGTTTTGGTGGAGCAGGTCGTCCATCACTTTGAAGAGCCCCACTGACAATAGCCATGGAAAAGTCCTTTTCCTGGAGGTTACTGCAATCTAATGGTTTACATAATCCAAAATCCGATAATTTCATATAACCGTTTTTATCAAGGAGCAGATTGTCAGGCTTGATGTCTCTGCAACATGTCAAGTAGAATGAGTTTTACCCTTTAGTGCAAATTCAGGAAGACCGTTACATAAAAGTTTATGTAGGTTTAATGTCACATCAACTCACCTATGAATATAATTATGTTTGTGAATCGATTCAATCGCCAGGACGGTTTCTCCGACATAAAACCTGGCCTCATCTTCGGTTAGTATATCCTTCCGCATCAGTAAAGTCATCATATCCCCCAGGTAAATATTCCATGATTAGATATAGATACTCTTCGTCTTGGAAGGAACAATATAATTTGACAATGCAATTACTGTCAACCTCTGCAAGTAGATTCCTCTCGGCTCTCACATGTTCAACCTGACAATTAGAAATGCAAACTAACGAATTAGCATCGTGGCTCAGAACACGTTATGGCAATTTTATAGCAGGCTTGAAATGGAGTACCTGGCCTCTACGAAGCATTTCGGACTTCTTAAGCTTCTTCATGGCATAAACATGACCAGTTTCCTTCTCCTTACAGATTCTAACCTGTGATCAGAAGAAGCAAAGTTAAAAGGAACACAGAAATCTAGTGGTAGACATAACATATCAAAATTTTCTCAATTTTGGCAAGTATATCGAAGCAAGAGCACAACTAGAAGAAAGAGAATAACCTATGTGATGATGTACAAAACAACGAAGAGGTAATTACCTCACCAAATGCACCCATGCCTATCATGGTCAATGGCTCGAAATCATCGGCACCCATCTTATGCCTCTGAAGACGCATGTATTCTGTTTCCTTCTTCTCTAAATACTTCAGTAAGTTGTTTTGTTCTTCCTCAGAAACTTCAGCATCAGCCAATTTCTTTTCTAGAATATCACGTCTGCGAAAAAATCACAATTACCTCAAAATGGTCATCCCTGATCTTCAAAAAGAACTACCGTAACTTTCCCCGCTGTCCTCTGATCACGAAACTTATCCTATCATGCTGTATATTTTTCTGATTATACATTATGTCAAACATGCTACAAAGTATCTATATGAGATAATTCTACCAAACTGTCAGTCCGCAGTATAGAGCATGTTGCAACATTATTTGTAAATTATACATGTGGAAAATTAGTTTCCATGAGAGGAACTAAGCTAGAATTTAAATCATACCTCTCCTTTCTTTCCTGGAGGCTTTTCATCTGCTTCTTGTAATGGTCCTCGATATACTGCTTTGCAGCAGCAACCCGCTGTTTGGTGACATTTGATGGCGCCTCTTCACTTGTTGGTGGTTTAGACCCCTCCTTTGCTTTACCTGCACCTTCTTTCTTCTTTGAAGGCCGTGACTTATCTTTAGCTTTCAACTTGTTGAGCCAACACCTTGAAGTTTCCATCGGTTTAAAAATACAACCCTTACGAAAGCCACTCTCCTAGATGTACATTTTAGCTCAACAGTATTTATCAAAACATCCAACAAACAAATTCTGCAAAGAAAAAGAGCCAAATACGAGTAGGTTAGATTAGAAAAATGGGAAAGCAACATTATGAAAAATTTTAGGTTTATATCAGTTGTCAAAGGATACGACACAAACAAACAGAGATCGGATAATTGCAAAAAGAAGCATTCTAATTATCATAAACCTCATGATCTTTAATGTCTCACCAAACAAATAAATACTATGTTAAGCTTAGTTAGTTGTGACATACTAGCAGTAGGCAGCCAGGTATGAATTATTAGAAACTCTTTTGCACATTGCTTACCTACCAACATGATTTTTCCCAACACTTTCCAGCACCTAAACAACAAAACAGACCTAAATTCAAAACCCAAGTCCCAACTAAGAACAAGGCAAAGAAAAAACAAGTCGAAAAGCATTATTGGTCGACACTGAAAAAAAAACTTATCACGATATGGAAACACTTCATCA